GTGCCACGAGCTTTCAAATATTCCCGCCAGTGGCTCTGCAATGATGTTGGCCAGTGCCTTCAGCACCCTCGGATGGATCTCATCCGGGCCTGCCGACTTAAAGGCATCCAGTTCTTCCAAGTGACTCTGCACCATCTCAGGGTCTACACATGGAAGTCTGGCGCCTTCCTGCTGCCTCTACAACCCCAGTGAGAGACTTGTCCTGCCCCTCGCTTAGGAACACTGAGGCAAAGAACTCGTTGAGGAGTTCAGCCTTGTCCCCTCTGTCCGTCACCAATTGTTTCTGCCCATTTAGCAGGGGTCCTATTCCTCCCTGGGCCTTCCTTTTACTCCCAATATATCTAAAAAACAATTTCTTGTTGTCTTTTACTTGGGATGCCATCCTCAGCTCCATGGTAGCTTTGGCCCGTCTAACTGCCTCCCTACAAGCACGAGCAGAGGAGGTATATTCGTCTTTGGTGATCTCGCCCTGTTTCCACTTTTTATGTGCTCCCCTTTTGGCCCTTAGGCTGCCCTCAATTCAGCCTTTGAGCTTTTCAGTGAGGGACTACACACCTTGAAAACGCATTGATGCTGTTTCTTCTCTGTTTAGGGACATCACCAAGCTGGTCTTGGAGCACTGTACAAAACATGCAGATTTAGTCCTCTCTTTCCTCCATCAGGCATGGGTGAGATTACATGTACATTTTATGTTGATCTTTATATACACTTGGAATTTTTTTTGCATTGGGCTCTCCATCACCTCAGCCATATTTCCAGCCTCCCTTCTGCCAAACAAGTGAGGCTCCTTCTACATCCTTAGTCCATTCCTTTCCCCTTCTATCAAGCCCCTGGGAGATACCTGCCCAGCAGGCTGGAAGCCTTAATGAGGCATATCCAACCTCCCTTTGACACAGTAAAATCTGCCTACTAATTCTTTTATACCTGTCACTTCATTGCCCATGACCTTCTTTCCCCCATTGACTCCTGCAGAATAAGGTCAGTGATGCAGATCAACAGCATAAGTTGAAACACAAGGGTACTAGGAAAAGGGGCATGAGTAGAAGCCAGAAATGGATTTCTTACCTGTGCCTAAGCTTATTCTCACTTACCAGGGTCTGGAGTCCCTCTTTCCTCCCCAGTGCACTTTCCTTATAGATCAAAGATATTGCAAGCTACCATGTCTTTGGAACCCTACATATTTCCTGAGATGTATTCAAGCAAGAGGTCTGGGGTCATGGTTTGTAAGAGAGGTTCATATGGTAATGAAAAGTCAGGAAGAAATTGAATCTTTAATACAGTCACATGCACAGAAAAATATAAATAATGATGCGGAGTGGATCAATCCCAAATGTCAGATAGAGCCAAGTCATGAGAAAAGGCTCTCATTGCTTCCCAAGATAGCAATTTGGATATTTTAGCATATCAGATATATTAATTACAAGGATCTTTATATTAGAAGCCAGCTTCAGCACTGTGAGTACCAGGAAAAGCTCCAGGGACTTTCAGCTCCAGGGACTGTTGTCTCATAAAGGCTCATGTCATTAGCATGCAACTTCTGTTAACAGTAATGCAGGGTGACCCTTGTAAATCCTTCACACATGGATAGGGAACAGGCCCCTTAGTATGTGCTAATTCCTTATATGGTATTTGGCTGTCCAAAGTTGCCCACTGGGGCCTAGTTTTGCCTACAACCTATTTAAATGAATTCTGACACACATTACCGCTGCTTTGCAAATTGGATCTAGCCTTTCAGACCTGTTCTCATTTATC